TATATATATAGTAAACAAGCTTAGTTGAACACATGTGAGCAGCTTGATTTATTGTCACATCCTCATTGGAGTTAAGTGGCTTTTTAGGGGACATCTTTAACAAACATCTATGCTGTATTGATTGTGCCTCGGCTAAATGGCCTTTATCACATGCAACCTTATGGATAGGGAAATCAGTGCACGTGGAGGAAGGTTGGCTTCATCTGCTGCCCTTTTATCATCTAAAGGGCATTTTCAAGATCAGACTTTTTTTCCTCCCTTTTTTTTTCTTTTTCCCGTCCACAATAAGAGGTTGCGAAAATGTCATCAGTAAATGTCAAATGACGTCCGCGAGTACGTAAGTGAAAGGTAAAACTTGTTGTGACGGTGCTTTGACACGTTGGACATGAAGTGATAAATCAAAGTTAATTAGAGACACTATCCTGCTCTGAAATTTGAAAAAGAAAATCCCAATCAGCTCCCACACTGATAGACAATTAGAAGATTGCATTTTAATCCTCCTTTTTTGTTTATTATCACATGAGGACTAAAAGCAATGCTCTGGGCTCTGATTTCCAGATGAGCAGGAGGCGGTGCAGAAAAGGACGTTCACAAAATGGATCAATTCCCACTTGGCAAAGGTAAGAAGGCTGATTCTCTTTGTTCACTTGCATAAAACAGAAATCTGTGCTTTTCTTGGTGCATTTAAAAACTTCACCTCGCTTGTTTTCCAGCAGGGAGACGGTCATATGACTGACTTTCCCAGATTAGACCACACAGTCATTCTTGCTCACATGCCTTCATTATTTCACATAGCTGGTAGCAACGATTTACTGTCTAATTATCACATTCATATTACAACACCCAGCATGTTGCATTCTTTTCCTGCGAGCTACAATCAGTCATTTATATCTTAGCAGACCAATTTAGAGCTTCTACTTAGCCTGCCCTTCAATTGTCTCTTTAAGCTGCTTCAGAACTAACTTTAAACAATCACACTTAATGCAGCTGCACACTCTGGGTATCTACATACATCTGTAATTATTGTATCACGCTGCATTGTGCGCCTCAGTTCCACCCGTTGCTTAAATGCTACGTCTGCAAAAAGGGGTGGACAAGGTAAATATGGCACGGAGTGACACAATTAGGCGCTATTTCCATCTGCGATGCTCCTTTCAGGGTTTTTTATTTGATTATGACAGCTGTGGAAGCCTTGGACTGCAGTGACATGGAGCAAATAATTTATTCGAAAGGCTCTCTGACATGCTGTAGAACTAGAAAGTAGCTTTCAAGATGGTGCTAGCAGAAAATTACACTCAGCAAAAGATTTAGATGCCAAAGACTTTAAATAATATTTGTGATTTAACACATGATTTAAATAGGAAATATTTTTAAAAGCCAGCAGGGGACAGCTTTTTATGGAGCACCAAGTGTAAAATAAAATGTTAAAAAATGTCATTAGGAGTGTTAGGAGCATTAAAAGAGTTAGCAGCATTAGGAGCGTTGAGAGCGTTAGCAGCAGCGTTAGCAGCAACGTTAGCAGCGTTAGGAGTGTTTGCAGCAATAGCAACATTAGGAATGTTAGAAGCGTTAAGAGTGCTAGCAGCGTTAGCTGCGTTAGGAGCTTTTGCAGCGTTTGCAGCGTTTGCAGTGTTAGGAGTGTTAAGAGCGTTAGGAGCTTTGAGAGCATTAGCAGCAGCGTTAGCAGCGTTTGCAGCATTTGCAGTGTTAGGAGCGTTAGCAGAGTTAGGAACATTTCCAGCGTTTGCAGTGTTTGGAGTGTTAGCAGCGTTAGCAGCGTTAGCAATGTTACGAGCATTAGGAGTGTTAGCAGTGTTAGTGGTGTTACCAGTGTTTGCAGCATTAGCAACGTTACAAGCATTAGGAGTGTTAGAAGTGTTTACAGCATTAGGAGCATTTGCAGCATTAGGAGCGTTAGGAGTGTTAGCAGCGTTAGCAGTGTTTGCAGCGTTAGCAATGTTACAAGCTTTAGGAGTGTTAGGAGTGTTAGAAGCATTTGCAGCGTTTGCAGCATTGGGAGCATTTGCAGCGTTAGCAGTGTTAGGAGTGTTAGCAGCGTTAGCAGCATTAGGAATGTTAGCAGCATTAGCAGCATTAGGAGGGTTAGAAGCGTTAGCAGCATTAGGAATGTTAGCAGCATTAGCAGCATTAGGAGGGTTAGAAGCGTTAGCAGCATTAGGAATGTTAGCAGCATTAGCAGCGTTAGGAGCATTTGCAATGTTAGCAGCGTTAGGAGTGWTRGAAGCATARCAGCATTAGTAATGTTAGCAGCATTAGCAGGGTTATGAGCATTAGGAGCATTAGCAGTGTTAGACTTCATCATTCTGCATCAAAAGCAACAGACTAACTCTGCTAACACTAACACTGCTAACACTAATGCTACTAACACTTACGCTGCTAACATTGTTGAAGATGACATTTCAATTTTAAATTAAAAAAACATGATCAATGAAAACAATATGGATGGTACCTGTGGTCCTGCAGTTTGAAGTGCAACTCAGAAACTGGCAGCAGCTTCAAGTTTGAAGCCTTGTAGGAAAGCGTTAGCAGTTGCCTTTGTCTCAGGATGATGATGTTTAACACTGCTAACATTTTTCCTAAAAGACGTCAAACTTGCAGTTGCGGTTGGTGTCTAAGCTACACTAGTTGGACCAAATGTACCATCCATATTGTTTTTAATGAACACATTTTGAATTTAAAATTGAAATATCATCACCAGCATCATTAGCAGTGTTAGCAGCGTTAGCAGCTGCTTATGTCTCAGGATGATGACATCATAACAAAAGCCAAGCACCAACAGCAAAGGCTGCATTCCATTCCAAATAAAGGTAAACTTCATCATTTAGCAGCAACATTTAGGATTTTAACTTTTATATTTAGATGCACGCAGTTTGATTAAGGATTTAATATTTACATATCTTATTTAACATTTAAAAGGAACATTTAGTAGAAATTAGAAAAATGGAAGAGCAGTGAGCTAAACAACAAAGTGTCAGTGGAATTGTTTAGCTTGGATCTTACATTTTTTTTACCTTTTGTGTTACACATGGTGCCCCATAGCTCTCAATTTTGCATGGTGATAGAAAGGTTTCAGGAATTAGCTCCATCCCAAAGAACATTTTTTAAAGAAATGGGATAATAAAGTGATTAGATTTAAAAAATGTTAATTAAAGAACTTTAGAGGTGGTGGTTTCCATCACATCTCTTTGCTTTGAATTTTATACCAAGACAAGCCAACAGGCAGCTGATTCCAAATAATATTTAGATAAGAGAGGGCTTTTTAATCTTCTTATCAAGCTTTTAATGTGAAAGCAATTACTTCCTAAAACATATTTGTGAATTATAACCTGAAGTGCATTAACAAAGCGCCCTCACCACAAACAAAAAATTAATTGGTTCAGATTGACGCAGAAAATTTCATTTAACTTCCATTATAATTGACTCTCTGCTGTTGTTCTATTGGAGGACAGAACCACATTTGATGCCGATGCGCTTCTTACTTGATCGAATTATTTAGTTCTGCTTCCCTCTTTGTCCATCACAAAACCGCTCGCCCTTTCACCTGATGCCTGCTGTTACCATAGTGACACTGATTGGCCTGATTTTGCCTTTCATAATTCCCTTTTCAAAACCCTAGTGTACAAAAGTTGTTTACTTTTACAGTGAGCGCTGGGAATGAAGAGGCACATTCCTCCATTGTTCTGGCTGTATTGTGTCGATTAGAAGAGATAAATGAGTGTTTTAGGAGTTTTCTCTCACATCTACGTAAACGGTGGCTTTGATTAATTTTGAAYGAGCCAAAAAGCACATTAGCTCAAAAATAAAATGAAACAGGAAAGACATTATGGGGTGCCAAGTTACACAGTCAAAAATTACCACCAATATTTTTGTTTTATTTAGCCTTTTATAAGAAAAAAAGAACAGATTTATTTTTCAATTTCAGTTTTTCACCATATGATACATACATTTATAAATGTCATAGTT